CAATGCGGCGGCGCACTGCTGCCTCCCAATCCAAAACATTGCACCCCTCAGCCCCGCGTCTAACTTGGACGTACTTTGTTCAAGTAACGCGACGATAACAACATTACTGCGACGATACAGTTATTTTAGAGCATCGCTCACCCGGTACATACGTAATATAGTGATTATTCTATACTAGCTATTTCTCGCGGCATTTTCCGTGAGTAGGTTTATAAAGCATGCTATGTGTTAAGTTTGAATATAACCTACCCGTGTACCAAATTTCATTCAAATCCGATCAGCCGTTTAAACGCGATCAAATAATAAATATACAAACTTTACAAATTTTCACATTAGGTATAATATTAATTTAATTTTACTAAGAACGGAATATCATCTTAGTTCTGCTACAATGACAATGCAAAGCATAATAAAACAAATATATTATTTACTTGAGAATACTGGTAACCACAATAGTAAGCATAAAAAAATCTAAAACAGATTTTAATATATTTTGTACAATTAAGTACTATATGGCAGACGAAAAAATTCCTGACAGGTTATTTAAATGTTCACCTTTGTTAAACTTAGAACCTGTCACATGATTTTTGTCAGATGTCCGTAATTTGTGCATTAAGAAGAAAATTCTTTATATTGGTATTGTATTTATTTAAATTTGCGCCGTTCGTGTAGCAATTTTTTCATGATTTTCTCATAAGGGCTCTTCTACGCTCGGAAAGTTTTCTCGAAGATATAGGGAGTTCAGTTAGGGACAAAGTATGTAAGTGGGCACTCAATGAAAGATTGTCCCGTTCAAAACAGGACGTAAGGTCAACATATTATCTATGACGGCTATTACTGAGGGACGATAATGCTATAAAGTTATTTCTATAAGTGAAATTTCATTAATAGCATAATTTAAATGAGTCAATAAAATCACAATTGTTAATCAGAATATTTCTCCTCATTACCTAAATATGTATGACGATTTATTTTATTTTCAGAACAAAGAATGTAAGAAGATCACATCAACAAGTTAATACAAGGCCACGCAAACCGTAAAACTTTGTTTTGATAAGACTTCAAGGTGCACGTTTCGCGCGCGAGTGGTTGCTTATCGATAATTTTGATAACAACCTCACTTTGAATGTTTCAATACGACATCTAGAGTTTTGATACAAAAATAAAAAAAAAAAACCAAGAGAATTTGAACACAAATTGTCTATCTCTCTCTCTCTCTCTCTCTCTTTCTATCATCTTTCTGATTCCACATAACAAACTGTTTCAGTTTATTATCTAATCAATAGAATCAGCACGTATTTTGATAAGCATTATTTGTAAAATGAATACTTATTAGAAATATAGAAGAAAACACTGTAGAAAATAACAGTTAAATGTAAAAATAAATCTCTAAAAATGAATATACTTCCATATAAAATTTAATTAGACAAAAGATTCCCCATACAGCCTTTAATCGGATTTTGACTTTAACCTAAATAGATACAAAACCAGAGGTTAAACCCTTTCGTTAATTAGGAGTAGTAGATTTAATTGGATTTTATTTAAATTGTTGATATATTTCATCTTTGAATACTCATTTGCTAAATACCTTAACGTCGGTTTCATTTTTGACATTTTGTTTGACTGATGTTTCATTTTTTTTTTATTCAAGGATGACTATATATATCTAACTCTGATTATTCTAAAATAATTTATGAATATGAGATCAACTGCAGGATAATTGCGTAACAAACTACTGGGATATTAATTATGAAATAGTAATCTGTAATATTACAATTACATGTGAGTGACAATAACAATGAATATTTCTACGTAAAGGCAAATATGACAAATAAAAAATGACAGACAATCCCACAAAATGATTATCATGTGCTTCGTGCATTCGAGGACATGTAAATCTGTCATTGGTAAGCTATGTCAAAGGCTTCCAGATAAAAAGGCGGACCAGGAATTCTTGTCACTAGTCACCCTTACACGGATAATTATAGCAAAACCACAAACAGGCCACAGGTTTGTGCCAACTTCAATCCATGTCCACACCATCTTGTGCATAAATTTCAACATTTGAATCTTTATCCGAATAATCTTTCTCTGAGGCTCTTTTCATTTATTTTTCACTACTGGGTTCTGTCCAGAATGTTTAAAAATCCTGCTTTGAATAGCATCTCTAGGTTTTTCTATTTTATAATCGCAACTACTGTATTTCTAAGTATAACTAAGTATTTCGTCCTTATCCAGCATTCGCACATAACTAACTTAAGTACAAACGCATTGCTGCGACAATTCGAAGTATTTCTTAAACTTATATGCCTATAACTATGAAATTAACCTGACTACTAAGAGTTATCATAAAAATTTTAGCCAAAATCTGTATTTATTATAAATAAAGAATTTGATTAATTGGAAACTGTCCTTAAAATCATCTGCGATGCGGAAACCTCAGAATTATTTCAGTACGTTCAAAAACAAGGGCGACGTCTAGTACGCGTCGTCATTGACATCTTTCGTATATTTTCAGTACTCATTATATAGTAGTACTACACACTACTCTGCTGCCAAGCAGTTTTACTTTATGTGCTTGCATTGTATTAAACCGAAACATGATTAGAAGGGTAAACTACGGCGATGAAGTATCTGGGTAAAACAAACGGACTCACGGAAGAAGAGATAGCATTAGTCTGGAATCTCGAATGATAACACATGAGTACCTACTATGAGCGTCAGGTGGATTCTGTTATATCCATAGTGTTGTTCTTTTACATAGACCACAATTATCACTTTCCACCTATTGGGTCGTGACTTTATTTGCACATCATGTATAAAAAAAAATATATTTTTTTTATCCATTTCATTCCAATTACTATCATGTTTCTACCGTGAAGCAATTGTGTTTGCATTTCTGTTTGAAGGGTGGGATATGGTAGTGAATTTAAGGGGTATAGAGAAATAACACTTGAATCCTCAGGAATGGCAACGCATGGGAGGTATCATGGACGAAACAGTATATTGAGTTGTGTCCATGGTACTATTTATGTCTTTAGGTGACGTTTACCTTTTTCCATCAGGTGGGCCGACAGCTTGTTTGCCATTCAAGTTGCATAAAATAAATACAGTCCAGTAAGTAGCAGTTAAAGTAACAGTTGCATGGATTCCATTGATCATTTGCCATATTGCATTCACTATAAATAATGAATTATATATGGGATATGCACAACTTTTTGCCCAGTACATACTTAATATCTGCAGATACGTAATTTTGTATGTGTAATTTTGTGTTGTTGTGCGATTTAAAAATAAGATTTTTATTATTTGGAATTGATGATTTATTATACATATACCTAAATTACGTAGTAATTTTCTGTGGGCTTCTTTTTATTTGGTCTTTTCGTAATGCTCGGAAGTATAGTCTTTTAATTCAAGAGTTGAAATCATTAACGCACCATAGAGCAGAACCAGAAGTGCTTATAAAAGGCTCCCGTATTCCATAAGACTGTATGCGGTGGACTAGTCATGTCTACGTAGAATTATGTTTCTGAACTCCTACATGAATGGAGATGAAAGTATATGAAAAAAATAGGAGTACTTTCCGTCATGTATTTGCTTCTTTCTTTTACAGGTCTTTTAACTAACTTAAGCCGGTATAAATCCATCGAGATGAGAATTTCTAATCTTAATCATAATATCCCTATACTTGATGGGAATTATATCTCAAAATCCTAATGCTCAATGGAATTTATTTTTAAGAGAATTATATGTGTTTGATAAAATAGTCGTAAATTCCTTGATCTAGAAACAAATTAACGTACTTGTATTGTAGATACGTAGGTAGATCAGTCAAGGCAGACATTTCTCTTCCTACGTTAAATTTTATTTTCTAATGTTCTTAAAGAAATTTATATTTATATACCTTTGAATACATAATAAGATGTATTTATGACGAAATGATTACTTTATCTGCGTGGAATTATTATTTTCATACATCGGTATAAACAAGAATTGAATCCAGGGCCTTATTTAAGTTTAAGGTGTCGGGAACACGGTAATTAATTTCAAAAAGAGAAGGTTGTCAATTTGTCTGCATGATTGGTAGATCGGTGAGACCTAGGTCTTAGTATATTTATAGTTATTTATCACACTTAGGTAGGTACCTATGTCTAGGTTTAACAGCGTTACTAATTAGTAGTAGTAATTTATCGTTTAAAAAAAATATGTTTGTTGCTATCCACAGAAGTTGCTTATATTTTGGTTTTTATTTTTAAGTGTTATACCAACTTTATTTACTTAAGTATCCATAAGTAAGCATTATCACAAAATTTTAAAATATTCATATGTATAACTGCATAACCAATCTAAATGAACAATAATAAAATATAATTAATGATGTTTCATTATATAACATATCATGTATAAATTTATCATTCCACCCAGGTAGGTATGTTTTATTAAAAACGATAAACATAATTTTTATTATTTTCTCTTATCGAGACCAATAAACTATTTAAGTAGATACACTATACCAAAATTAAGAATTAAGATTATTATGTACGAAAGTCAGGTTAGTGAGAAGTCCTATTTTCGTTCGAAAAATAGACGCACAAAACGGATGTTGGAGAGAAACGTGGTCACGTAGAACACTCCGTAAATTGTCCGCGGGACGGGATTATACAAGGGATCGGATCGCATCATTCGCATTACATTTCGATTGCGATGACAGTCGCTAGAGAAACGCGTGGTGCGCAGCGGTGTTTGTTGCGGAGAAGGAAACGCAGCACGTCACGCAGTGTTTAATGTTTACACCACCGCGTACCGCCCAGACATACCACGTGGTGAACAAAACGGCCAATTGATACCTACTCCTTCCACACTATCACGTGACTACATGATACACAACTGGTAGTAATAGTAACCAGTCTAAAAATGTAATGTCCTGGCCGCACCAGGCTTCGCAGAACCAGATTAGCCTAGACGTAATCAGATTGAAAACAAATACGAAACGCTACCTGCGCTCGGCGCCTGCCGTGGTTGTCTGCTCCTCGCGAACCACAATTTAATAGTACGCTATTAATCCTGAGACACAAATATTACGATATGTTGCACTTTGTAACTTACACTGATCACTGGTTAGTATATTTAAGCAAAAACAATAACAACACTGTACTGTAAACACAGCATGTGATAGAGAGCGAACAGAACACATACGCCTCGTCAATAAAGACGCCCGCGAACGACTGACTGAAGTGAGACGCGCGCGGGGCCGTGCCGTCGACCTAGTCGTGGAATGCGGCTCGCCCGTTCTCGCGTCGCGTGCTTATTTTTTTGGTCGGCCAGCTCTGTAGGGCTCAAAGGGACGCTTCGATAGGGCCCTGGCCCCTGGCTCAGGTAAACACCCTATGTAGAAACACAGAGGGAGTTAGGCAGACACCAGCGGATTCAGCTCAACGTCGCTAATATCTGTTTTTCTATACTTGACGTACCTACCTAATTTAGTAGTAAACAATCTCAGGGTTTGTTTTCGTTAAATTTAGTAAGAAATTAAATTCTAATATGCAATAAGAAGTAATCAATCAACTTTGTACCTTTACTACTTATTATAAAAAAATATATAGGTAGAGGTTTAAGTACCAAAATGTTTACTAATTGTTCGCGCCAAGGAAGTACAAAAACTACCTGATTGGGTTCATCCAATCCAGTGCTAGTGTTCATTTACCAATCCGTCAGCAGAATACACACTAGTAATTTCAGATATTAAACGTCATGATAATTAAATTATGTGTTTATTTATTTATTTATTCTTTATTGCACAATAAAACTTTGTACAAGTGGCGAGCTTAATGCCGTATGGCATTCTCTATCAGCTAATCATTAAATAAAAACAGAAAGTGTAAAAATATGAAATATGTTTGTAAAGTTTTCAAGATGTTTATTACTATCCTAAATAACCCTGACTTGAGCTGACTGGATAATACATTTAATTAATCAGAAAAAAAAACTGTAAATTATAGTATTACATTATGCTACATTGATGTTGTTCATTCTAAGATCCACTAATTTGTTTCTTTAGTATTTCGAGTCGCAAAAAAATTCAACTGACGATCATCATGTAGGAAAGTGGTAACCGTCGTCTACAGACAACAATAGGACCATGGACATCACAGAATACACTGTGACACCCATTTTAACCAAAGCGTTGCCATTACTGAAGACTAAGAAGCTATGAGTCCGTACTCTGTAATTTCGCTGCCACATTTTGTAAAAAGTTGTCTGCTTGGTTGCCTTTGTCCCACTCATCCGTCTCAATAAATGATTGATTTGAATTTTCAGTTGGAAAGTATTCAAACCAAAACGGACATACAAACGTAACTGGGATAGCACGAGTAGGACAAAGTAGAAATAAATCCATGTAGAGGACTTTTGTAAAGACAACCTCTGGTAAATATTTGAAGTCTTTATATTTAGACAAATAGTACTGTTGTAGTCACAGGCAGGAGGTAATAAACGAAATTCTGAGAAATTAATTTATAAACCGAAAAATAGCTGTATTTACTTGCGCATCTACTAACGTAAGTATAGGTATGTTATTATATACGTGTTATGTGTATTCCGCGAAATGCCAACTTGGTGTAAGGGAAACCTCAATGTGTTGGGAGAGGGATTATAATAATGGGGATGCTATTCCTCGTTATCAACTATATATCCAATCAGACACTCTTCCATGCAAACATCGTGGTTAATTCCAAGTGCCTTGCCGACCATGGTTTAACTGATCTGACTAGGGGGAAAGGGATTGTTAGTAATGGGGTCTAATAGCCCCATTGCTAACAATATACCCTCTCAGGTCGACCTCCACGCAGTTGCCCCTGGAAACCATCATGTTTAATTCTTGTTGAATTCGTCATGGTAGGTCAACTGACCTGCATTCATTCTCATCTATCATCTTCCACTAGTGCTTCGTCGGTGTATATTGATCGCACGGGCGGGGTTGCCATTCCATTTTCACCCATTAAAAAAAATATCTGACTATAGGCCAACTGACTTGACTTTATCCTCACCTATCATCCTTCACTGGTGCCCCGCCAGCGCGGATAGCGTTAGAGGATAGATACCGCAGGCGGAGCCACGATTTCATTATCATCCATTAAAAAAAACTATCCTGACTGGGGAGAATTATTATTAGTAATGCGGGTTGCTGTTCCCATTGCTAGCGATATGCCCTGATAAGTCGACCTCCACGTCGGCCCTCTTGGAAACCATCGTGATGAATACACCTATAATTCAGCTAACTGACCTGCCTTTTCATTCTCACCTATCATCCCTCACTGGTGCGCCGCTACGGGCTTACCATTCCATTATCATCCATTAAAAAGAAATTGTACTGATTTCATCCTCGTCGTTTCATCCACTACTGGTACCCTGCTATTAACATAGATAAAAAGTGTAGAATTTCTAATTTTAAGGGGTATAAAATTTTGATAGCTTTGAAATCTGATGAGATATAAAATTAAACTTATCAATGTAACAATTTTAACAATCTTTGCCTGCACATTTCAAGTTTGATAGTTTAGGTCATTTTTGTCTTTTATCTATGTGAAAATACAATCCATAGCAAATAGGTCTAATTTTGTATTGTCTTTGTACAAAACCAATGCAGATGACTTTTGTACAAAGTACAAAATTAGAGAGCACTGAAGCATTATATCTTAGTCTTCAGTAATGGCTACGTAGAGGGGTACCATGGATGGCACAGTGTATTTTTTGACAATTAGGTTATTTTTGTATGGGTGATAATGCAATATAAAGGTAACCTCACCCGCGCTATCGGTATACGCTGGCAGGTTAGGATGAAAGCAGGTCAGTTAGCCCAACGTGACGAATTCCACAAGAATTAATCACAATGGTTTTTTATGCAACTTAGAATGGCAATGATGGCAATGGCAATGGCAAGCATGAAAAGCTGACAGCCCACCTGATAGAAAGTGGTAACCATCGCCTATATATCATATCCCCCCATAAGTTGCCATTTCTAAGAACTAAGGTATAATTCCTCTGTACCCTGTAAATTCAGTACCATAGACTTGGGGACAGAGGTGCTCAAGCAAACGACTTTTGTACAAAGTCTCCCTCTGGTAAAATGGTTTCCAGGGGAAACCACGTTGTCAACATGATAGGGTACATTCATAGCATGGGGGCTGTTAGACGTTATTACTAACAATCCCTTACCCCCTGACGTTCAGGTTGGTGTTCATGTTCTTAGGCGATACTTACCACTTTCAGTCAGGTAGTTTGTACCATACTGGACCCTAGATTTAGCATAACGTATTTTCATAATCTAAGGCTTAGACCGATGGTAGAGGAATATGAATATCTCAGAATCCTGAAATCTGAAGCTTTCCATTATTTCATAACAGATAGATATCTGTTATTATATGATATTGTTAAGCTAACATTGAATCAACGACTATCACAACGTTTATTATATCTAGATAGAAAAACCTTAAAACAATGATAGGGACAATAACGGACCATTGTCCATTAAAAAAACTTTTATACACAATAGAAGTTACAGACAGCCCACTATGTTGAGGCTGTTTTGACGCCGAAGAAACGGCTGCTCACGTAATCCTGGAATGTGAAGCTGTGGCCCTCAACGTTTAGAAATCCTTGGAACGGCGAGGTCGCTCCGTGAGGACTGTGAAGATCCTAGGAAGCTTCTGTGCTTCTGGGCGGAGTTGGGCTGGCTGTACTAGCCACGACTCATACGCTCAACGGCCCAAATGTAAGACTAAGCGCGGAATAGAGAGTCTAATTTACATTACATTACATAATATTGTTAAGGTTAACAATATTGTATGGTTACTAACTCAGTTGTCAGACTACTCGTATTTTTATGTTTTCATCCTTAAAATGCGTCGATTATAAATTCAACGTTCGAAATGTCATCGAAATTCGATTCGTATTTACCAACGAGTCTGTACGTCAGTCGTTGCACAATTTTAATTTTATTATTTCACGATATTGATATAATGCCTATTTAAATTATTATATTTAGGCTCAAAATGTTACTATATGTTTTATGTAAACATAGTTCCTATACGTTTTTGTGAAAATCCGGCGAAGCGGATTCCATATTTTTTAAATATTTTCTTGAGACTAAGTATGCAAAACTATACAATTTAATATAATTATATATGATTTGGAGACTTTAAACTTATATTTATTTGTAATTAACACTATCCGCAATTTCATTTTTGTATACAAACTAGGTACCTACCACTATGTTACAATAATTTTATAAAGCATTTTTACACACATTCTTTTATCTATATAAATCTGTGCTCAGCACACAAGTAGAAAAAATTCAAAAACAGTTCAATATCGCAATATGTAAAATAATGTAGTATAAGCATTAACTTCGTTACGACTTTATGTAAAGGTTTGTAAATATAAAATAAATATACTACATATGTACAAATAGGTATTTAGATTGTGCCGCGATGTCATTCACTTGAACACTCGATAGGTATTTTTAGAAAGGTTACCTAAGTCCCAAAGTATGAAGTTGTTTATATCATAAGGTTCGAGTCCTACGGTGTAGGTACAAATATGGCGGCGCGATAAGAAAAACTTGCTTTCATTGATAAATGTTGGTTGCGTAAACGTTGTTTTTCAATGACGCAGCTGATAAGACCCGGCGCCCACTGACAAACAAGCAGTGCTTTCAACAAATTGTACGCATATACCATCAAAACAATAAATAAGTGGACATGGAAGGTGAGAGGAGACTGTTAATAAGGGGAACTATCTTCATTGGAATTTGTTGTGGCCAATTCCTGGCGAATTCACCTCAAAGGCCAACTGAGTGATCAGTTTAAACCAATACTGAAAATATCACTATTTTCATTATCTAAAATGGACTTAACAAAGTCACAAAAATCCTAAAATAAATTTCAAAAATTTTACAGTTTATGGTCTTCATACAGCTGCTATAGCAAAGAAAACTTCGACATCCTATTGACTTAGATTATATAGATAGTCTCCATACAAATGTTTCGAGAAAAGCGTTGACACGCTTTTTTCGTTTTCATAAATTTCTGCGTGATAAATAGTTGAGTGTTTCCTTTGTAACTTTTATATTTATTTTGTTTTATATAATTTTTTTACATTTTTTTAATGCGTAAATACTTATTTTATTTATTAAATAATTAAACGTCAAAATACATTATGTGCGTAAATATATAGAACACTGA